TCTCGTGTTGCTGCTTATCCTTCTGCGTGTGAAATATTAAAACTAATAAAGGAAATAAATAAAAAAGAGAGAGATAGAGAAGAAAAAGAAAAAAAAGAAAAAGAAAAAAATAAAAAAGAAAAAGAAAAAGATGAAATACAAGCTCCTCTTCTTCCCCCTCATTTTGCTGCTGCAGAGACAGCTGCTTATCCCCCCGCAAAAGCAGTACTCTCTTATAGAGCTTTCAAGCGAGCAAGCTAAACCCTAAACCCTAAACCCTAAACCCTAAACCCTAAACCCTAAACCCTAGACTGTAAACCCTAGATATCCTGAACAAATTGGGTATTGGGTTTCTCTGGAAGGGTTTAGGGTTTAGGGTTTAGGGTTTTGATTCTGGGGTCTTTTCTACACCTGATGAATTTATGTTCTAGGGTTTAGGGTTTAGGGTTTAGGGTTTAGGGTTTAGGGTTTATGTGGTTCAGGCTGGGTTGATTGGTGGGGGCCCCTTTTCAGGGTTTTTTTCTGCTTCTGTTTTTTGTGAATTTCTTCGCGACGCCCACGGAGACATCTCCACACAAACAGCAGCCAGAACTCTCCTCAATACCAGTCAGCAGGGTTTAGGGTTTAGGGTTTAGGGTTTAGGGTTTAGGGTTTAGGGTTTGGGGTTTAGGGTTTAGGGTTTGGGGTTTTGGGAGGGTGGTTTAGGGTTTAGGGTTTAGGGTTTAGGGTTTAGGGTTTAGGGTTTGGGGTTTAGGGTTTAGGGTTTAGTGGGGGGGGATTGGGGGTTGGGGCTTGGGGGGGAACGGCCCGTTAGGGAGACGGGTTAGGGGTTAGGGTTTTAGTTGTAGGGTTTAGGGTTTAGGGTTTAGGGTTTAGGGTTTGTGGTTTAGTATTCAACGCGCATCTGAAGGAGAAGGTGCAGCCATACCTTAACGAGAAAGAAGAATTCACCATAGATGTAAGCTGCTGCTGCTGCTGCTGCTGCTGCTGTTGCTGCTGCTGGTGCTGTTGCTGCTGCTTTTGCTGCTGCTGCTGCTGCTGCTGCTGTTGTTGCTGCTGCTGCTGCTGTTGCTGCTGCTGCTGCTGTTGCCTCCGTTCGTTGCTGCTATTCATCTCGCCTGCAATAGAAACACCCTCTGTTCCCATCAGGATTGTTTAGGGTTTAGGGTTTAGGGTTTAGGGTTTAGGGTTTAGGGTTTAGGGTTTGTGTTTTTTTTTTTTTTTTCAGAGTTTGAGTGAGATGTTTATGGATTGGTCTTTGGATTCCTTAGTGCTCATT